GCTTGAGCCCAGGAGTTGGAGGTTGTTGTGAGCGTGATGCCATGGCACTCTACCCAGGGGGATAGCTTGAGGCTCTGTCTCAAAAAAAATAAAAATAAAAATAAAAAAACTAGGAGGTCTGGCAACACTGTGGGCACTAAGTGGGTTGAGGAAGGACTATCCCTAGTGGACAGGATACAGGCTTTCCAGAGCAATCAAGGCCCTGCCACTAGCCTGGGCAGGATTCACTGGGGTAGTGGGCAGCCTCTAAATGGCCCCTGATGGCCCCACTTCCTGGTCATCATGTCCTGTGCAATGTCCACTCTCAACCCTCAAGCAGGAACTGTATTTCTTAACTTGCTTCTAAAAAATATGTAATTTGGCAGAAGTAATGGGAGGTCATCTCTGAGACTAGGTTATAAAAAGACTGGCTTCTGGCTTGGGCACACGCTCTCCCTTCCTCTTGGATGGTTTCCCTTGAGGGAAGCCAGCTGCCATTCATGCAGTGGCCCTGGAGAGAGGTCCGTAGGGCAGGGCTTGCTCACAACCATAGGAGTGACCTTGGACATGGGATGTCCCGTCCCAACTGAGCCCTCAGATGAGACTACAGCCCTGGCCAACTTGACTGCAACCTCATGGCAGACTTCAAGACAGAGGTACCAGCTAAGCCACACTGGATTCCTGACCCATAGAAATTGTGAGAAAATAAACATTTGTTCTTTAAAAATTACTATTTGGGTGATTTGTTACACAGTAATAGATAACTAATACGCTCAGGTGGCCAAGGATCTCTCTAGCTGTGACTATGACATAGGTGGGTTCAAACTGAAGTACAAAGAAAATGGCCTTTTCTTTATGCCCAGAGGCCAGGACCCCTAGAGAAAGCCTGTCTTGGGATCATCCTTCCCTGCTCTGCTGGCCACATTTCTCAGGCCCCTCCAACAACTTGCACCCTCAGCCAGCCCAGCACAGGGAGGCCTTCTCACCCCTCCCCACCTTAGCCTCTCTCTCTGCAGTTCTGCCCTCCTCACGTCCTCCTGGGGACCCTTCCCAACTAACTCTGCTGGGCTCTAAGGTTGCCATGACTCTGCTCACTTCTCTCCCCAACTCAGAGGTCATATTAGTGACTCTTGGAGGAAAGGTAAGGATGACAGGGATGAAGATGAAGGCGGTGGTGACAATGAGGACAGTGACACCTACCAGCAACTTTATATGGAGTGTCACACAGCATCCCCACAGTCACTCTAAGGGGTGGGGACTAAATATCCCCCTTTTCACAGATGAGAGAGCTGAGATTCAGACAGGTTAAGTAGCTTGTTTAAGGTGCACACAGCGGCTCGGTGCCTGTGGCTCAAGCGGCTAAGGCGCCAGCCACATACACCTAAGGTGGCGGGTTCGAATCCAGCCCGGACCCACCAAACAACAATAATGGCTGCACCCAAAAAATAGCCAGGCATTGTGGCGGGCACCTGTGGTCCCAGCTACTTGGGAGGCTGAGGCAGGGGACTTGCTTGAGCCCAGGAGTTGGAGGTTGCTGTGAGCAATGAAGCCATGGCACTCTACCTAGGGTGACAGCTTGAGGCTCTGTCTCAAAAAAAAAAAAAAAAAAAAAAAAAAAGGTGCACACAGCTAGGGACGGGAAGAGCAGGGACTCACACTCAGACTGTAGAGTCCACACCCCCAGGTCTGCTCTGCCACCAGGTTGTGGGTGTGCCCCATCCCCAGATTCTGCTGCAGGATATGGAATCCTGGGTCTCACTGATGAACTCTGGGCCCTTTGTCACCCACAGTGCCCCCGACCCCATCCTTGACTCACTGTGCCAGCAGGAGTGCCAGCAGCACAGGGCAACACGTGCCAGTCGCCAGCCCCGCTCCTGAGCCCACCGCTCTGCCTCCTGCCTCTGCGCCAGCCGCTGCCGCCACAGGCCCAGCACAGCCCTGCAGCTCTGAACCCAGGCCCACTGGGCAGCCCGCTCTCTCTGGACCACTTGGGTTGTGGCCCAGTGACTCCAGCTGAGGAGGACACTAGGAAGGGGAGTGTCCACCCTGAGGATGGGCACTGCCACCCAGGCCAGCACCCCCTCCTGTCCCCTCCCTTCAGCAACAGGGAGGGGCCCAGGGTGACTCTTCTCTTTATTCCCACCATGGGGGAGGGTGGATTGCTGGGTACTAGAGGGGCCATATACCTCTCTGAGGGTCACATGACAAGTGCTAGAGATAGGATGGGACCCCAGGCCCCCAGTGCCCAGTCCTGCACTCAGCCACACTGCTATGGACCGGGGCTGGCAATTGGTACTAATACACACCAGGCACTGCGTGGGGGGGAGATCCATGTCCCATTGGAGTGAATGCTATTACAACCCTAATTTTGCAGGTAGAGAAAAGGAGGCACAGAGATGTTAAGCAACTTGCCCAAGATCACACAGCCACTGAGGGACAAAGCTGGGATTAAAACCCAGGCAGGCCAACTCCAACACACTGTGGTATGAATGAATAAATGAGTAAACCATAGCTGTGAAACCTCTGAGAGGAAGAGTGACCCTGCAGGGTGTCTCATCCTCATCTCTGCCCTTCTGAGGATAGGAGTTGAGTCTGGGGCCAAGCTCATTAGGATGTGAAAGGGGAGACCCCTGGGATGGGATGCAGACCTCAACAGGGCCCTGCTGTGAAAGCTGAGGGTTGATGGGAGAGAGGGCCAGGACACAGAAAGTCCACGTGGTGGGCAGCATAGCTCGCCCATCCTAGGCAGGGGTCCCTACCACCTCTGAAGGGTATGCTGGCGCCACCTCACTGCACCTGGGGACTGCTGGGCCCGCACCTGCCAAAGCAGAAGGTACAATCCTTGCTGCTGTCCAGCTGCCCACAGACAGCTCATCTGGGGGGTCTCCAGTAGGGTAGGGGCCCTGAGCTTGGGAAGGAGGTGTGGCGTTCAAGGTCCCCACCCTCTCCACTCATCTGCCCCTCACCTTCACCAGCAGAATGTACGGTATGCTACAGCCCAGCGAGAGCTGTCCTCCCGGGACCCTGCCCAGTGGCTCCAGGGCCAAGGTGGTCCTGGCAGAGCCTGATGGGGGGTCCAGACTCCATGTCCTCCAGCGCCACTGCCTCAGGATGTGTCGCAGTCTCTGCTGCTGTGTGCCCTGGAAGAAGGAGCTACAGAGGGGCAGATGAGTCCCTGGGTCCCAGCCTTGCCACCCCACCTGGCCGTTGGGAAGAGCTGAGCTGGAAAGGTGCCCACCTTGGGTCACATACTGAGCTAGCACTCCACACCCTGCCTCCCACACTGGCTACACACTGGGATCACTGGGGGCTTCAAGAAGTACTGAGGCCCACCGGGGTGCAACCCCGAGAGATTCTGACTTAAGAGTGAGTCTGGGTTTAGCCTGGGCTTCCGGACTTTTCCAGAGCATCCCAGGTGACTCTAGCGAGCAGCTAAGGCTGGGAGGATGCTCAACCTGCATCACTCAGCTGGTCCTTGCTGCACTCCTGGAGAGGGGTGAAGCCGAACCAGGCTCAGGCATCCCAGACTCCAGAGCCTACATGTGCAACCACATTAGTACTTCTGCCTCCACTCAGTCATAAAGATAGAAACCGAGGCCTGGGGGATTCCAAACAGTGGCAGACCTGGGACTCATCCCAGACGAGCAGGGCAGCCCCGGGTACACTGCAGGGAGATCAACTGTCTCCTGATGGCCAAAGGCCAGAGGATGTTCTGAAGGATCATGGTGAACTGGGTTCTCTTGGAGTTCTAGGGCTACACTGAAAGAGACTGAGGGGCCACCTAGACCCAGTGGGTGTGGGGATTATGGACGCCAGGTGTGTGGCTCTTAAGGACAGAATTCTTTTTTGTTCAGACAGAGTCTCACTCTGTCACCCTGGATAGAGTGCTGTGGCATCATCCTAGCAACTTCAAACTCTTGGGCTCAAGTGATTCTATTGCCTCAGCCTCCCAAGTAGCTGGGACCACAGGTGCAACCCACCATGGCTGGCTAATTTTTCTATTTTTAGTAGATATGAGGTCTCACTCTTCCTCAGGCTGGTCTCAAACTCCCAGGCTCAAACAATCCTGCTGTCTCAGCCTCCCAGGGTGCTGGGATTATAGGCGTGAGCCACCATGCCTGGCCAAGCACAGAATTCTTAATCCTGTTAGTATTGGCTCCGTTCCTCCTGACATCCCATCAGGGAAGCTGGTCACTTCTGAGCTCACCCTCCCCTCACCACAGCCTTCAGTCTGGTTCTGAACTGGGCCATGACCATTCTGTTCAAAGGCGGCACCAGGAAGGTCTTGACATGGGGCCTTCCTGCTCCTAATTCACACTGTGATTTAGAGCAAGCTGCTCGACCCCTCTGAGCCTCAGTTTCTCTAGTTGTGTAATGAGGCAAATGCAGGCAGGGGGAAAAGAGCTCTTCTCCCTGGCTCCTTCCCTTACTGCTTAATGGTGTTCACTCTGTGCCTAGGACATGCCAGGCACCTGCTGGGGGCTGAGGAAGCAGCAGGGAGGAGCAGACACAGTTTCTGACACAGCATGGAGACAGCACTCACTCAGGTTCCAGCAACCTTGGCAGAGCTCATGTCTGTGGTCCCAACAGCCCCATGGTTCCTAGGAGCTCTCTGCTCAATCACAGTCTCAGTGTCCCTAGGCCACCTTCTGGGGCCTGGTACCTGCTGGGTACTACGGTGTGCCAGGCCCCATGCCGGGTCACAAGGAAGAGAGGAATGTGGCCCATGCCCCATGGGACAGACATTCCTCTAAGTCAGTGGTTCTCAACCTTCCTAATGCTGTGCCCCTTTAATATAGTTCCTCATGCTGTGGTGACCCCCAACCATAAAATCATTTTCGTTGCTATTTCACAACTGTAATTTTGCTACTGTTATGAATCGTAATGTAAATATCTGATATGTAGGATGTATTTAGGCAACCCCTGTGAAAGGGTCATTCGACCCCCAAAGGGGTCACGACCCACAGGTTGAAAACTGCTGCTTTTAGTGCTGAGCCCTGCTCACCCTGAGCAATGCCCACCCTGTGGCCACTGGGCCAACCCTAGGTCACAAGCTTGTGGATACGTACTTGGCCTGCTGGCACTGGGAGAGCCGCGTCCTCCAGAGCAGCAGCACCCGGTGGAGGGCCAGTCTCCGGCAGGCTTCCTGCAGGGAGCCTCCGCCTTTCTCCCAGGACAGCCTCTGCGCTGGGGCCACTGCCCTCAGACCACGGGCTGTGGCAGGTTTAGGGGCTGAGTGGAGGGCCACATGCCCTGAGAAGCATGTCAAGAGGTGGGTCAGCCAGGTCCCCACTGACCTCCGTCTGCCCAGTAGCTGGTGCCTCAGGGACCTCTCCCACCCACCATGGGCAGTGCTCCCACCCACCACCTCCGGCCCTCCCCTCCAGGAGGCCTCAAAGATCCCATCATCTCCAGTCAGGTTTTACAGAGGGGGCAGGGCTGCATGTCCCCCATCAGAGCAGGAGCTCCCCCAAGAACAAGGCCCACATCCGTTCTGGGGCTAAGGGAGCCCTCATTGAAAGGAGATGGGACAAAGTCTCTCTCACCTAGAGCAGTTCATGATGGGAGGTAAGAAGGTATCCTAACCAAGGCCCGCTCTCTCTGGGGACCCTTGCCTAGATCTTTCCAAGCCCACAGCCTGCACCCTGGAAAGCCCCCAGTTCTACCACCTCCCATGACGTGAATCCACACATTCAACTGGGGCCCGCTGGAAGAAGCTCAAGAGATGCAGTTTGGCTGGGGCGGGAGCGGCCCGCCATTCACTTACCTGCCTTCTGCAGGCAGAGGGATAGCTGGGTCACCTTTGCCCCATCTGAGGCCTGGAGCTGCTTCATCTGTACCCAGTGTCCCAGGCATGTCCTCAGGGTCCCCACTCGACGGTCAGCCAGGTGGTCCCGGCATCGAGACTCTCTTTGTACAAACCGCTGCCAGGCCCCAAAGCACCTGGGAAAGCCGAAAGTGCCTGTGCCAATCGGAAGGACTGAAGACAGCAGCTGCGGCCACCTGCCAGACACAGGGGCCCTGGGCAAGCCACTGCCTGCCTCTCTGAGCCTGTTTTCTCATCTGTCAAATGGGGCTGCTGTGAGGACACATGGCATGTCACTTGCTCAAGCCCAACACCAGCACCGCTGGGCACCTGGATGGACCCCAGGGCAGCCTCCAATCCGGCCACTGACATCCACACTCGGTCCCTCCAGTCAGTTCTTACTGGATAACCAGAGTGGTGTTTTTCCCATCACAAATCAAATTATCCCGGTCTCTTGCTAAATCCTCCAGAAGCCGCTGCCTTGCCTTTTAATACAGTGGTTCTCAACCTGAGGGTCCACGGGAACTGTAGTAAAGGGTTGCAGCATTAGGAAGGTTGAGAACCACTGTTTTAAAAGATTCCAATCCTCCCCCAGGTTGACAAGGACCTGCATGTGATCTGGCCTTCGCAGACCTTTCCAACCTCCCGTCTGCTCTCACGCTCCCCAGCAGAGCCCCCTGCATGCTCTCTTCCACCCTCCTCCTCTAGGCAGCCATGGCCTGGCCCAGCTCTCTGTACTAAAAGTTCTTGGGGAAAACTAGGCCATAGGGTGTAACCAGCAGAAAGCACACAGCAAGAAACTCTTGTGGATAAGCAGCCTGGTTTCCTCAACAAATAAAAATCCAAGACAAACAACGGAGGAGAACCCTGAATCATCAACCAACTGCAGGGAGTGGATCTCCATTCCAGCAAACTCTGACACAATGCTTATTTGGGAAACAATCAGAAATTTAAATACTGGCTGGGTTATTTGTGGGTTTTAGGGAATTATTGCCCTTTTTTAGGGATGAGATTGGTGTTGTGGATGTTTTGTCTTTTTGTTCTTAAAGAGTCCTTACCTTTTAGAAATACATATAAAAGTATTTAGGGATGACATGGTTTGATGTTTGGGATTCGGAGGGGGGACATACTAGGGACACGTATAAAACACGTACAAAAGCTTTCCGGGGAGGCTGATTTTGTTGAAGCTGGGTGATCGGCACTGTGGGCTCGACTTTTGTCGAAGACAGTGGTTCTCCACCTTCCTAATGCCGCATGTATTTTCATTGTTAAAAAGGGGTCGCGACCCACAGGTTGAGAACTGCTGGTCTAAGATAAAAATGCCCCATCACAAAAAGTTAACCATCAGAGAAAAGCAGCTCTCAGATTTGTTTCTTCTCGTCATAACACTTAACTCACCCTCGTGACAGCTCACTTCTTGCCTGTTCCCTCACTGGCCGAGACCAAGCTGTGCTTAGACCAAGCCCCAGTCCCGGATGTCTCAGGCAGTCCGTCAGTGGCAGCTGTTTTTACTTCTCACTTGCATCCGTGCCTCTCAGTACTACAAGGAGTTAAGAGCTGACTTGAAGGAAGGGGATCCCCTACCTGCACAGCCAGGCTCTCTGGCGCTGAGGGTCTAGTTGGGCCACCCGGGCTGCACGTACAGTATGAGAGTGCCAGGCCTGGAGGATCTTCTGTATGGCCCCAGTGGCCTCCCCCTGGATCCCCCTTTCCTGCCTGGCCTGTGCTTTCTGATGGCACCATAGGAGGAAGACTGTGAAAGGAGAGAGAGAGAGAAAAGAGAGAGTGAGTGGAGGGGAGGCTAGGAGCCAGGAGGGGCTACTGATACCTGGGATGCCAGTCTCTCCCATTCCCGGACTTCCTCATCTCTGCTGGCTGAGTAAGTGATCTCTAGTCCAACACTGAAGCCTCTGATGTGGGCCTGTATCTGTACAGGGGCCACACAAATGCAGATGAGAACCTCCTGTGCTGTGTGTCCTCAACTTGGTCACTTAACTTCTCTGTGCCTCAGTTCCCTACCAGTAAAATGGTCACGATTCCCCATGGAGGTCACTGTGAGGCTCAAATGAGATCATGTCTGGAAGTGACTGAAATGCTCCTTCACTCTGAGCTCCCCTGCCCTCCCCCATCCTCCCCCAACCCACGTAGGCACTTATGCCCTATCTGCCCTGTCTCCATCTGTCTCCCCGATCCCTCAGCACCCACCACCTCACCAGTTAGTTGTTGTAGGGCCTGCAGTGTCTGGACTCTCCTGTCTCCACCGTCTGGTCTCTGCCCAGGATGGGACAGAATAGGCTGGGCTTCCTTCTCTTCTCTCAGTCTGCCTGGGGTGGGAGTGCAGCTGCCCAGAAAGAAACCGACCGATGCCTGGGTGGAGGGAGGGTACGTGGTCCCAACCTGTCCACCCGTGCCCAGGCGGGTGCTGTCTGCCCTTGCTTGGGAGCAGGGTGCTGAGCACCCCCCTTCCAGACAGTTCATTTTATTCCTGATGATAAAACTATTGGAGGGAGGGGGTTCAGATTCAACTTTATTTTCTTTAGTACTGATTGGACTTTTTTACTACATATATTTTTTAAAATGCTATTTAAATAATTGTTTAAATCCATTTTTTCAACTTAAAAATAATGAAAACAATACAGTGCTGGAATGCATAACTGGAGAAATGAGACAAAAATAGTCACTTTAAAATCCACTGCTCTGGAGATAAACACTATTTCTAGTTTTTCTTTTCTTTTTCTTTCCTTCTTCTTTCTTTCTTTCCCTCCCTCCCTTCCCCCTTTCCCTCCCTCCCTCCCTTCCTTCCTTCCTTCCTTCCTCTCTCCCTCCCTCCCTCCCTCCCTCTCTCCCTCCCTCCCTCTCTCCCTCCCTCTGTTGCTCTGGTACAATGGTGACATCATAGTTCACAGCACCCTTGAACTCAAGTGATCCTCCTGCCTCAGCTTCCTAAATAGCTGGGACTACAGGTACATACTACCAGGCTGGCTTATTTTTTTATAGCGATGGGTCTCACTGTTACCCAGGCTGGTGTCAACCCCCAGCCTCAAGCAATTCTCTAGCCTTGGCCTCTCAAAATGCTGGGATTCAGCCCGTGCAGTGGCTCATGCCTATAATCCCAGCACTTGGGAAGTGGAGGAGGGTGGATTGCCTGAGCTCACAGGTTTAAGACCAACCTGAGCCAGAGGGAGACCCCATCTCTAAAAAATAGCTAGGCATTGTGGTGGGTGCCTGTAGTTCCAGCGATTTGGGAGGCTGAGGCAAGAGGATTCTGTGAACTCAAGAGTTTGAGGTTGCTGTGAGCTAAGATGCCACAGCACTCTACCAAGAGTGACCAAGTGAGACTGTCTCAAAAAAAAAAATGCTGGGATTATAGGCATAGTACTGTTACTATTTCTATTTTAAGACGTTTTAAGTGGAATATTTATTTTTCACTCCTTGAAAATACATGTCAGAAAATTTACCATTTTGACCATTTTTAAGTATACCGTTCAGTAACACTAAGTACCCTCCCATTGTACAATATTTTGGCACTTTCCCCCCTTTTAATCCTTTTTCTATGCACCTTTTTACATGTTTAATAAAGAAATGTTTTAGACATTATTATCTTATCCTCCTCTTTTTGTTTGACATTGTCACACCACTTTTCCTTGTCTTTAAAAATTCTACACAAATACTCATAAAAAGACTTCTCAAGAGGGGGACATGAGCAGATGAAGATTTCAAGTTAAGGAACATACTTCTATTTTGAATATGTTTCAAATCACACATGCATTACTGTTGTGACTGGAAATAAGACCAATAGAGATATTGAAAAGAAAAATAAAAGGAAAAAAGAACGAGAAAGAATTTTTGAAAGTCTTCTAAACATCATATTGAATGGCTGCCCAATTGCTCATTAAGTGATCAAACTGTAATATTCTCATTCACTGTTGAGCATTCAGGCAGATTCATAGTTATTATAAATAATGCTGTGATGGACATCTTTTGCATGAATCTTTGTTCACTTCTGCTTGTTTCATTTCATTCTTTTATGGGGAAGGAGAAATGGGAATAGCAAGCAAGGCAGGAAGCAAGGAGGGAAGGCCAGCAGCTGCCCAGGCCACACTGACCACCTGGAGTGTCCCAGCCTACCTGCTCCTCTGGGCAGTGTCCACCACTGCCTTTCTTCCCAAGTAGGGGCGCTGCTCCTGGCCTTCCCTGGAGGGTGGGAGTCTGGACACAGCCTGGATGGGGTGCTGCCCCTGTTTCCGCTGCAGAGCCATCTTTCTCCACTAGGTCAAACACAGAAGGGCAGAGGGGCTTTTAGGCTCAAACGGGCCTCCCAAGGGAGCACCAGGCAGGACAAGGCAGGAGTCAAACACGTCTATCAGGCTCCAAAGCCTGTGGTCTTAGCCAGTCTTTTGGGGAATGAATGAATGAATGAATGGAGAGATGAATAGCTAGAATCAGGGCTTTTCTGGGAGACAAAACTGGGGCTGGGCTCTCCCAGGGCACCCTCTTTCCAAGGAGGGAAGAATAGGGGCGCCCTCCCAGTCCTGCCTGGCAAATCACTAATAAAAAATACCAACCACTTACACAGTAGAATGCTTGCTATGTGCTAGGCAGGGTTTGGAGTCCCTTATATTTATTATTTATTTTTGAGACAGAGTCTCATGTTCTTGCCCCCAGTAGAGCGCTGTGGCATCATAGCTCACAGCAACCTCAAACTCTTGGGCTCAAGAGATCCTCTTGTCTCAGCCTCCCAAGTAGCTGGGACTACAGGCACCTGCCACAATGCTCAGCTATTTTTTAGAGATGAGGTCTCACTCTGGCTCAGGCTGGTCTTGAATTAGTGAGCTCAGGTGATCCACTGGCCTTGGCTGGGATTACAGGTGTGATCTACCGTGCCTGGCTCTCTTTATAGTTATTAATTTAATCTCACAACAACCCTGACAAGTGTGTACTGTTATTATCCCATTTTAGAGAAAAAAATACTGAGGCACAGAGAGGTTAGCTAACTTATCCAAGGGCACACAGCTAGAAAGTGATAGAGGTAGGATTTGAACTCTGGCAGAGCTAGTTCAAATGTCTGCACTTGTAACTACATGCTCTATGCTGCTCACTCATGAGATGTGACCTGTGCCCTCTAGTAAACAGAGCCTCCTCCCCAGACACAGTAGTGCGTCACATCTCCCCTAGCCCAACCTAGAGACCCCTGACCTTTTGGAAGCTGCGGGCCAGCAGGGCCTTCAAGTATCGCCCCCATGCCATCTCCATCTGGGCCTCCCGGAGCCACAGGGCCCACCGCAGTGCCTGAAGGCCTTTTCGTAATAGCTTCCGCCGGACCAGGGCCACCTCTGTTGCCAAGGCCCTCTGCCTCCATACCAAGTGCCTCCAGGCTCTGAAACATCTGGATGACAGCTGTCGGCTGGGGATAAACCAGGGCTGATTGGTGATGGAATAGACCCTTCTATCCCCAGGGAGCAGTTGGCAGCCAGGCAATATCTATGTCATCTTTCTGGCAGTCAGGGGGTAATGTGCCAATGTAGACTGAGGACCTTCCCTCTTTTGATGGCTAGACTTGGAAGTCCCAGACAAGGAAGGCCCTGGAGGCTGGAGAATACCCCATCTGACTGCCAAGAGTTCAGGGCACCCTCAGGATTTTAAGTGCCCCAACCCAGGAGCACCAAGTCCTACATTCTTGTTGCTGGAGCCCAGGAGTCTCCCTTCATTCCCCAGCAGGGATGGCCCAGACAATGGGAGAGGGGCTGCCCTGGGAATATGTCTCCCACCCCCATCTCACCCAGCCATGGCCTCACCGAGCTGCCTCAGAATCCAGAGCCACAGTGGTTTGGGCCTTGCTCTGGGAAAGGAAGAGGATGCGTAATACAGTTCTCAGGCCAAAGAGCAGGGGGGACAGGATACCCCCTGCCCAGGAGGTCCCCCACCTCACCCCCAGCCTTCCCTGGCCTCTACCTGTGGGGTGCTTCTCACTGGGGCTTCCATCCTCTCCTCCCTGCCGGCCAGTTCCCTTGAGACTTTGTCCCCACCCTTCCACTCAGGTAGGCTCCCCCCGGCAGCACTGGAGAAGGCTGAAGAACCATGTCTGGCCTCCCTGCTGCTCACCCCTTGAGGGAGCTGGGGGTGGCCCCTCTGTACTTCACCACATGCAGGCCTTGGGGAGTGGTTCTTCTGGGGCCCTGAGGAGTGGGCAGGAAGGGTCCCCTGCTCAGGAGCAAGGAAATCCTCAGGCAGCATCCCCAAAGTAGCTTCTGGCTTGCTGTGTGTCCAAGGGTTTGAGAGACCAGCCTGATCCCCGTGGGTCTCGAGAAGATCTCCAGTTTCCCTGTGGCCTTGAGGGTATCTCTTCCTCTCAACCCTGGAAGCAATGACAGACTGGCAGGGCTGCAGGCTTTGGCCACTGCTGGCCCAGAGGTCCTGCTGTGAAGTGCCTGAGGGCTCCTGGGCTGCCCTGCTCCTGAGCTGGGCTGCCACCTGCTCCAGGGATTGTATGGAGGCCAGCAGCTGGTGGATGGCAGTGTGGGAAGGGGCCCTAGCCTGACTCGGAGCAGGGACAGCCAGGTCCTTCAGGGTGAGGGGTTTCCCCTCAAGCCTGGAGGTCCAGTTTCCCAGGCCCTGCCAACATCTGAAGCCTGGCTGTGTGTGCCCATTGAGAGGGGCAGAGCCTGCAGTGGGCCTGAGGTTCAGGCTCCGGGTATCTGTGGCTAGCAGCATGGACTGCCTCAGGCTGGGAGATGGGCAAGCCAGTGGCCCTTGGGGCCTAAAGTTCTCCTGAGGCTTTGGCCAGAGGCCAGGGCTGGTGGTCTCTCTTCTGCTCAGGTTAGTCTGCTGGATGGCAAACTCTCGGGTCTTCCCCCAGGGCCTCCCAGCTGGGGGCTGCAGGTTACTCTGTTGCTGGAAACTTGAGTTGACCAGTGGGCCAGTTGTGTCCTTCAGAACTAAGCCCCGGTGGAGACCAGGGCTGGCCAGATTGGTCTGGACTCGGCAGGGCTCCTGGCGCAGCAATGCCCCTGGAGAGGGTGTGGCAACAGACCCTCCCCTCTTGGCCTGGCATGCGGGCACCCATTGGCCATGTCCACTGCCCAGGCTCTTCAGGTATTGCCGTTGCTCTAAAGAGAGAGGAGAGACCATCATGCTCAGGGAGGAGGACTCAGTGGTCAATGCTCAGGTGGGACAGGTGGGGCAGTCAAGGCTCAGAGCTGGGGAGGGAAAGGGCCCCAGAGACAGGGAACCAGAACATCAGGGGTCTGCTGCCTGCTTCGTCTCTCAGGTGAACTGATGGGCACATAGGGAAGCAGGGAGACATTTAGGAGGCTGTTGAAAAGATCCCAGATGAGAGACAATGGCAGCTGGCATCAGGGGGAAGGTGAGTAGAGAGAAGATTCAGATACGCTTCAGAGGTAGAGACAACAGGCTTGAAAGAGGTGGATAAAGGAAAGAAAAGAGACGGTGTCTGTAGCTCAGTGGGTAGGACACCGGTCACATATACCCAGGCTGGTGGGTTCGAATCCAGCCTGGGCCAGCTAAACAAAAATGAGAACTGCAACTAAAAAACAGCTGGGCATTGTAGCGGGTGCCTGTAGTCCCAGCTACTTGGGAGGCTGAGGCAAGAGAATCACTTACACCGAAGAGTTGGAGGTTGCTATGAGCTGTGACATCACAGCACTTTACCGAGGGTGACACAGTAAGACTCCAAAAAAAAAAAATCAACTCTGACTCCTTTGTTTCCAGCTTGAACAAAGAGGTGATGGGGCAGCAGGCTAGGGTGAAACCAAGACCCCATAGAGCCAACAGCCAAAAATGTGCTCTCTGGACATGCAGAGGTGGAGCTTGGAGGCTCTGCCTCAGCCCCCCATGCCCCTCCACAGTCACAGAGTCCTCATGGTAATGGAGAAGGTACCCAGGAGGCTCTGGGCATGGAATCTAGCAGGAGGAATAGGCCATAAAAGCTGCTTTTTTGGTGTATATAAACTAAAGCTCAGAGACGTTATGCAATGTACCACATGGTCACACAGCTTGAACATGAAACTGGAATATAAATCAGAATCTGAATTGCTCTTGGGCTGCTCCTACCCTTGGACCAGCTCCACGTCCTTCTTACAGCCCCTGGGAACCTGAGCAGAGCAGGAAGCCCCCCCCGCTGCCCACCACCCCTGGGACAGACTGACCTAAGAGGGCCCATCTCAGCCAGGGGCATGGGATGGGCCCACTCTGAGCCCCTTCTTCTTGACCTCACCTGCCTTGACCTCATATGCCTGACACTCTCCCTTGGGACCCAGGCTGGAAACACTTTGTCCTGTATGCAGCTGACAGTGGGCAAGGTCATGGACCAGCCTACCCGGGAAGGGGGCTGATATCTATGGGGCCCACCCAGGCCCACTAAGCTTCTTGCCTGGCCTCAGGAGTGCCCCATGCCTTGGGGGCACATTCTCTTTGTGGCTGGTGTCAGGCCTTAGCTCCATGGGCTCCAGGGCAAGGGCGTCCTTGGTCTACGCCATGGTTGGCCGTCTGGGCTGTGTGATCAGATGGACCCTGGAGGGAGAGGATAGACTGCCCTGGCTCCCACCTGGTCTGTCCGGGTACCCCTGGCTGCCCTCTTCCCAGCCCAAGCTGTCCTGGGGCTGCCTCTCACAGGTCAGGCCCCTTGGGGACTCTTCTCCTGCTCCACATATCTTCCCCCTTCCCATGTAATCTGGTGCCTCCGTGTGCCCACTCTTTCTAACACTGATCACGGTCCCCCCTGCCATTCCCTGTGGATACCACAGCTCTCTCAGGTGAGGACCTGGAGGAGGGTGGGGTCCTCTTTGCTTCCTGTTGCCACTTCCAGACCATTCTCCCTCTCCCCTCTCTGAAATACTCCTGCTCTAAGCTGCCTGCATTGAAGGACGTCTGCGTCATGCCTCCAGTCTTGGAAAAGTTCACTTCTTGGTTTCTGTCACTTTCTCCAACACTCACCTGCCTGAACTATGGGTGATGTCACCATCCACACGGGGTCCCCAAGGACACCTGACCTGTGGAACCTTCAACCTACTCCCCTCACCCAATCTTGCCCTTCACCTGCCCTCAGCCACTGCTCTCATGATCCTCCCCAGACTTCGTCATGGAAGGAACTGCTTCCTCCACCAGTTCAGTTTCACAGTCCACTCTGCCTCTCCGGCTTACTCCAGTGCCTCAATGCTAACAGGCCTCCCTGCTCCGTGACATCCCAACCCCCTGACCCCATCACCCTCTGGCTGTCCCTGTGCCCTGGATGTCTCACCCTCTCCTTTGACAGCTTAAAGATCAAGAATTATCATCACCCCCTTCAAGCCCTCCTTTCCTTTGCCACGCTTGGTTGGTGAAACTAAAAGGCTCCATCCGCAACGCCTGTGCTCATCAGGCCCATCCCTCTGCTCCTCCTGTGCTCATCAGGCCCATCCCTCTGCTCCTCACCTCCCACTGTCTACCCCCCACTGCCTGCCTCTCTCGCTCCATTCCATTCTTGGCCCCTTATGGACACTCTTGCTATTAAGGTAAGGTGACCAGACGTCCCGATTTTTAACAATTTGTCCCAAGTCCTGCAGTGTTTTAAAAAAGCCCCGATTTTTGGAAAGAATGCATAACAAGCTAGGGAACTGCGGAAGAATGAGGAGGGACTATACAGTTTTCAGCTGTTGGAAAGGTTAATGTAACTCCATTTGGGATCGAAGAGGTTAATGTAACTTCATTTGGAAATGAAAAAGCTAATGTAAACTCCCTACTCCCCTCCTGAGCAAGGTTGCCCAGGTGGAATCGGTATCAGACGGAGACTGGCTCCCTCCCTTGCTTCTAGGCAAGGACAATTAGCTCAGAAGGAGCCAAACTACCTGGTACAAACAAGTAGCCCCCTCCTCTCTAGAGTAAGGTGACCAGACGTCCCGCTTTTGGCGGGACAGTCCCGATTTTAAACAATTTGTCCCACGTCCTGCGACGTTTTAAAAAAGTACCGATTTTTGGAAAGAATGCACGACAAGCTAGGGAACGCCGAAGAACAGGAAGGGAATATATGGTTTTCGCTGCCATGTGGCTATTTTGCCAGGATATGAGTTTTATATCATGTTTGTTAATTTTATAATGTCAAACTTTAATAATAATAAATAATTGTTAGAACTGATTATCGAGAACTGCTTATCAAAGTTTGCATTGTTGTCAGGCTCCGCCCCCCCAAGCCCCCAACCCCCAATGGTGTCCCGCTTTACCAATGTTAAAATCTGGTCACCTTAGCTTAAGGGTCCCAGAATGGGATGGAGCAAGAGAGCCACCTCTTCCCACCAGAAGAGCTGAGAGTCAGTTTCCTGCCCTCACGTGCTTCAGTCCACCTCGGTCCGCCTTTACCCAGTCGAGGTTGAATCTGAAAGGAACTTCGGATTGGGACCGCTAACGACCCTGGAGGTGGGGGATGGAGGAGCAAGGCCTGAGAGCAGAGCGGCCACGCCCCGCGCCGGGGGCGTGGCTCCGTCCTCTCCTGCGCGACGCAAGGCCAATCGGCTGCTAGCAAGGCACGTGGCCGCGTGCACATTTCTCTCATTTGTAAGACAGGTGAAACTCTCTTGGCCTTCCGGTACCCCCTGGGGTGGCCGGGATCCATTCTAATCACTCCTCATCCTGCAGTAAGCCTGGCCCTGTCACACTCGGGACTCCAGACGTCCCTGCATTTTCCACCTGCCAAGCCTTTGCCTCTGCTGTTCCCACAGTACTCCGCCATGCCCTTTTCTTCCTCTGTCCAAATTATGCTTTCTTCTTTCTAAACACCTGCGGGGAGAGGAAAGAGCGCTGGGTCAGGAGTCAGAAGACCTGTGATCGAGATTGTTCTGCTGCTGTGTGACCTTGAGCAAGACTCTAAGGCTAAGTCCCTAAGGCTTCTCATCTGTAGAAGGAGGGTGCTAACCTCTGCCTCACCTACCTCCCCTGAGCAAGAGTGAGACCCCCGTCTCTAAAAATAGCCGGGCCCTTGGGGCAGTGAGCGCCTGTAGTCCCAGCTACTCGGGAGACTGAGGCAAGGGAATCACTTGCGCTCGAGAGTTTGAGGTTGCTGTGAACTGTGACGCTAGGGCACTCTGTCGAGGGAGGGTGACAAAGTGAGACTCTGTCTCAAAACAAACAAACAAAACTCTGTCTAAAGCATTTCTTGAGGGAGATGAGTGATTACTGCTTTCTTCTTAAGGCTGTGTGTCTGAAATCTCCTAAATTTGGTAGAGGGAACCTTTTGTTATTTAGGTTTTAACCCTCTTTTATCTCTAGTAATATTTTTTTGCCTTAAAGTCAAACTTGTGGGATATTAATTTAACTACCCAGCTCTATTTTGGTCCTTATTTGGCTGGTATATAACTTCTTCATTTATTTACATTCAGCCCTCCTGTGTCCATAATTTGAGATATGTGACTTGTAAACACGATATAGTTGGAACTTTAAAAAATCTAATCAGGCAATCCCATATCTTAACTAGAGTTTAGTTCACTTGCAAATGTATAATTTTGACATACTTATATTGACCCTCTTATTTTTGTGCTTGCTAAAGGTCAAAAAAAATTTTTTTTTCTCCTTTCTTACATTTTTCAGACTTGATCAAGATTTCCTTTTTTTTTTTTTAATATCAAGATTTTCTTTTTTCTTTTTTCCCTACCTCTGGGTCAGAAACTGCATATTCCATGTCTATTATTTCAGTGGTTATCCAAGATATTTTATTAGGTGTATTTAATAAAGCGAATTCAGTATTTACCCTGTTCCTAAAGCTAATTCAGTATTTACCCTGTTCCCAGACCAAGACGGGACATTAGAACACACCATCTCTGGTCATCTCCTCATTTGGATAGTATTATTTGTCTTGGAGACTAAACCTAATGTTTACTATTTCCTTCATCCATCCCAGATCTTCTTTCTGGAAAAATTTCCTTTGTCCACCAAATGATTCTTTACATGTTTCTGTATGGAAGATCTATGGGTGATAAACTTCATTGTCATCCTTCTGAATGACTCTCATTTTTAATTTTTATTGCTAAATCATGTTTGTGCACATTAATACTATCATGGGGTACAGTGTGTTGTTTCCATATACAATTTGAAATACTTCCATCCAGTTGGCCAACATAGCCTTCATGTCATTCTCATAGTTGTGTTAAGACATTTATAATCCACATTTAGAAAGATTCACATGTACTCTTATAGGATAAATCATAGGCATGATCCCTGCAGTCGCCCTCCCTTCACCCATCCTCCCTCCCTCCCCTCCTCTCTCTCTCCCCTTTCCCTGTATTCTTGGACAAAAATTGGGTTATGACTCTCATTTCTTAAAGATAACTCCCTGGGGCATAACTTTAGGTTGACAGTTATTTTTCTCACCACTTTCAAGGTATTCCGCTGTTAGGCTGGGTGTGGTAGCTCATGCCTGCAATTCCAATACTCTGGGAGGCCAAGGCTGGTGGATTGTTTGAGCTCAGGAGTTCCTGACCAGCCTGAGTGAAAAAGCAAGATCCAGTCTCTTCTTTAAAAAATAAAAAAACTAGCAGGGCCTTGTGGCAAATGCCTATAGTCCCAGCTACTTGGGAGGGTGAGGCAAAAAGATCCCTTGAGCCCAGAAGTTTGAGGTTGCTGTGAGCTATGATAGAACAGCACTCTACTGAAGGTGACAAAATAAGACTCTGTCTCAAAACAAATAAACAAACAAAAAAGATATCCCACTGCCTCCTGATTTCTTTCATTGCCATTGAGACATCTGCTACCAGTAACTGTCATTCCTTTTTTTTTTTTTTACATTGAGCCAGAGTGTTTCTGTGTCGCCCTGGGTGGAGTGCTGTGGTGTCATAGCTCACAGCAACCTCAAACTCCTGGGCTCAAGTGATCCTCCTGCCTCAGCCTCCCTAGTAGCTGGGATTACAGGCACATGCCACAATGTTTGGCTAGTTTATCTATTTTTAGTAGAGATTGGGGTGGCATTTTCCTTGTGCTCAGGTGCTCAAGCTGGTCTCCAACTCTTGAGCTCAAGTGTTCCTCCCGCTTTGGCCTCCCAGAGTGCTCCCAGAGTGCTAGGATTACAGGTGTGAGCCACCACACCTGGCCTGCCTTCCTTTTAGGACACTCTCTTTTCTATCTGGTTGCTTTGGGGATCTTAATTCTTGTCTTGTGTTCTGTAGTTCTCATTCATTTGACTTTTATAAAGCACTGAGAGGGTCCCAGCACTCTTCTAGGCACTGAAGTCAATGAACAATGTTCTGTTGTGACTTTAACTGTGGGTTTCTTTTTATTTATTGTGTTTGGGAATTAATTTTTTTCCTCTGTAGGGTGTGGTCATATCATAGCTCACAGCAACCTCAAAGTCTTGGGCTCAACCAATTTTTGGGGGGTGGACAGAGTCTCATTTTGTCACCCCGGGTAGAGAGCAGTGGCCTCACAGCTCAAAGCAACCTCAAACTCTTGGGTTCAAATGATCCCTTTGCCTCAGCCTCCC